TTTTATAAAAAAAAAAACACACTTTCCCAACAGAGTATTAGATCGATGGTATTCATAGCCTTGGTTTTATTGAGATAGTATCGGGAAAAAATCATTATAGAGTCTTAAAGCACTTATGTAAGTCGCTCTGGCTAAGGGCGTCTGCCAAATGCTGTAAATGTAATGTAATGAGTGAATAATACTAAAGCACACAAAGAATTACAAAACAAACCAAAGAAACACAGAGAAACACAAACGAGATCAGATAACGCATCCATGTCAGATAATATACCAGAAACAAATGCAATGAGCAATAAGCGCAGAGGGCAAGGGCAGGAAACAAGGGTTAAAAAAAGGACAATTGTCAATCCATTGCATTCAACCAAATAATTAAGATTATGGGCAACAAGGAACAGGTGCGGGTCATTAACAACCAATGCAAACATTAGAAACAGGATGGCTAGCGGCACCTGCTAGTCAAACAGGGAAACGATGGACAGGACAGGGACTAATCCTGACAGGTAATGAATTGCCCCAAGAACATTAAGTTAATCAACTTAAAATTATAAGTTTTCATAACTAAATTTTTGAGTAAGTTACTTGTACTTTTTAAGTGAGGTAAGTGATGGCAGCATTGTATTCCCTGGACAGTCCCGTCGCTCGTTCCATCCATCTAAGACTTACTCTTCCCACACCCTCCAACTTATATAATTTCTAGAATTACTATATGGATCAACTGCAAGTGTGAAATCCAATATGTGTATTTTAACCCGATGAGACGGCAATTCCAACAAGCCACACACCCTAATCTTTTATGTAGTAAAATGGTAGGATAGATTGATATTCTTAAAGGTGCCTGGAAAGCAATCCAAGTGAAATATGCACCCAGCGCTTCACTCCTGCTCTTCCATGACTTCAGCCTGACCACAACTGTGAGGAGAAAGAGCTTCAGTTCTGTCATGCAGAAGCCATAGCTATGGGCCTGGAGCTATTTCTCTTCTATCCTGTACTGACAAACTACAGTTCAAAGGTGAGAAGATGATGTTTGGATCCCTTCAAGCTGCAGGAGATGCCATCAACTCTTTGCCTTGGAAACTCTACAAGCCCTACAGCTGCCCAAAGCAATGGTACTACAGGCCGGCACAAGGGAGAGCACAGTGCTGCTCAATGTACCGGTGAGGAAGGCAACACCATGGACATGAATGTATGCTAGTTCCCCTTTTAGGACCTTGCTCACCATGGACATGAATGTATGCTAGTTCCCCTTTTAGGACCTTGCTCTCCATCATACAGGTTTTACACTCTGAAACTGTACTCTCCTATTAAACAAATGCATGTCCTAGAGAACCTACATCGCAAGATAGGTCACACTGCCCTAATTCTAGAAACGCACCTAAAACAATTTGATGTGGCCTGATTTAAAAACATACACTTTATATTGATCATTTCATCCTGTGTCCTAAACAAAGAGAGACTTTTTTTCCCAACATTTGCAGTTATTGGAACCAGCTGAGAGCTCACTAGTGGTGCGAGGTGATTTTAGTGCTTCCTTAACCCCACGTTTGATCAATCTAATTCAGATGCAGCTGCTAATCTTTCACCCAACCAGCTGAATACACTTATCAGAAGCCTTAATTATGTTGATCTTTGGCATATACAAAACAGCACTAGTACAGATTACACACTTCACTTCAATAGACATGACATTTTCCAGGATAGATTGGATATTTTTTTTAGCTCGGCCTTAATTTTGGAAAATGCTTTCATTACCATTCTGTTACCTGACCACTCAGCACCATTAAGCTCTCCAACATGGAACTACGGGCTCCGAGATGCAGGCTGAACACATCCCAGCTAACTCTAACTTCCTCAGCTCACTTAAATGATAGCCGCAAGATTTCCTCGGTATTAATGTAAGTGAATTCCCTAATCCCCAAGGGCTGTGGGAGACAACAAAATGTTTAATTTGTGGTTTTTCAGCTAGAACAAAAGCTTACCAGCTTCCAGCCCAGTGCTGTGGGCTACCAGGCATTGCTGGCAGTGAACTTGAGTTGGACCTCATGGAGCTTCCATGGCCGGTCTCCACTCCACTCGGAAAGCCGACCGGCCCATTACTCATTACTTTTGTCTTGCGTGAAAATTGTAATGGACAAATGCAGGCTATTCTCCTAATAGTCTGTTTATGATCTAACGTCAACAGACCTTACAGTGATGCAATGAAGGGGTGATATTAGGTACGGTGATAGATCAAATTTGACAGTTGTATTGTCTTGCACTGAGTCACAGCAGCAGCACTAACATAGCTACCCAGCTAGCACAAATGCACTCACACATCACTACTGAATGTTGATTCTACATCCCCCACATGCCTGTGCAATGTATTTCAACAGCAACACAATGTTAATGAGATCACTATGTGATGTTTAGCCTACTGTTACGGTTGCCAATTAGGCTATATAACCTGCAATAGGTTTATACTATATACAGCCGTGGAAAAAACTGAGACCACTCTATATTTTTAAACAAATCCACATTTTTAAATCCTGGTTTAATCGTGGTTCTGCTGGCAGAGGCTACGCTGAGCAGCAGGTTGCTTCCAGGTTCAAAAATTTCTAAGACAGCGTGTGTGTGCTGTCTGGGTATGTGTGCATTAATAACTTAATAGAAAAATAATAGGTGTTAGTGTCCATGCATACTATAGGCCTGTATTTAATATTAAAGGACTTGTCTTAGGGACATCATGCATCTTAGCCTCAGTAACCAGACTCACTCAATCGTTAGCTATCTTTATGATACTGATACTGTAAGTTAGAATATTTTGTTCCATTGTAGGAATTTGATGGTTTCATAGTGGAACTGGAGACTGAGAAGCAAGACGATGAATTGTGATTTAGTACGTCAGTGTGATGTGTGCAATTACGTGTAAAGAGTGTAAAGTGAGATGTGTGCTCACTGTGTTGGGCATTGAGGATCCCATAGCCTTATTCTGCTTCAAATTTTACTCACTACTCCAAGTGCTGTATTATTGAAAATGGCTACACTGCTGCTGATGTCATTAAATCATGTGTAAAGGTTGTATTCCCACCCTATCCCACCTGACTCACTGTTTTTGTAACACAAAACATACGTTTTTGTAAAAACTATCAGCCTGTAACTAATATGACCTTTTCAAATGAGGTAGGTGCACTATATGGCCAAAAATATGTGGACAACAGTTTTAGGATGAAGTTGGCTTTCCATGAGATGCTAGAACATTGCAGGTGGGATTTGCTGCCAGTCAGGATTTGCTGCTGGGTCCCTGTCTGTGATCTTGCGTGCTACTGGTCTGCAGCTGAACTTGCTCCCGGTCCTGTTGATCGTCACAAACGCTTCACTTGTGTTTTGCCAGGACAGCTGCAGTAGGGTAGTAAATGTGATGAACAGACTTCTTGGAATGATGGGATGGTATGACAGTGCCAGGTTAAAAGCTAACACACCTCTTCTGTATGATCACCCATTCAGGTGATCCCTGTATTGGGGTGGGTACATACATTTGGTAATATAGCACTTTGTTTCTCAAACTGGCCCTCGAGGAAAACCAGTCTACATTTCTGTTCTGGTAGGGAGGTGGAACAAAAACGTAGACTGTCTGGCAAGGAGCTGAGAGGGAGCAAAAACTTGGGACTGTGTGGACGTCCCTGTGACGCAGGCTGAGAAACAGATATAGTGTAACCTCAAAAAATGTAAACAATATAATACGATTCTGGGAAGCACAGCACAGCCATGAATAGGAAGGAGGAAGACCAGCTGCAGAGAGACTGCTCTGCTTTATTGGGGAGGCCTGTTACACTTTCTTGGCAATCAGTCCTTCCTCTGATCTCTAAACTCAAAAGTTTATTCCTGAAATATTACCGAATAGTCCATTTTAATGTATAAAGAGAGTACATTTTTGACCATTTATACTATCTGACAATATTATAACCTTGAATAAAGAGCATGATTTTGAATAGCTGGTGTTTACTATTCTTTTAGCTGTGTAGATCTCTCTAAAATACTGAAATAATAGTATAAAGAGTTAAAGAATGAAAATTGCTTTCAAAACCTCAGAAATAAAGGCACAATACAATGCTTAAACATAAATACAATGCTTTAGAAAAAATATTTTAAACATGACTGTAACCACAGCACTTAATATGAATGTCCCTCATACAACATGCTAATCTGATACATATAAACTTTGAATGTTATCATTAAATGGTTCAACAACATAAAATATTAAAAAGGTGTATCATTTGTATAAAGCATATAATGAAGCAGCAACCACAATGTATTAAATATGGAAATACAGTGGAACCCGCTTATAGTGATCACTGTTATAGTGATCAACCGCATATATGGATCAAAAAGCTTGGGACAGAATCATTCCTGTACAAATACTGTTTCAATAATTTGCTTATAGTAATCAAGCAGTCTGCTTACAGTGTTCATTTTGGGTCTTTTAATACGACAACATATGGAAAAAATTAAAAACTACACTATTCTTATGTTTTTTAACTTGTGGCCTTGCGGTAACCCGTCTGTGTCTGGCTAGCTACCCGAGGCTAATGCTGCGCGCACAGAAAACATGACGGGAAAAAGAATGTCGTTTTCTCTCAATGACACATTTAGACTCCTTGAAGCTTATGATAAACTGCCAAAAACAAACCACCGAGATGCAACGACGAAACTACAATAAGCTATATTTTACATACAATATTTAAGAAGTGCTTCCTTAAAATGAAAAGAAAAAGAAAAAAGAAGTGCTTCCCTCAAAATGTTGAGTCCAGGTAATCTACCATTTTCTCTTTGATTATAGCCTCCATAACTTTACCAGTTATACAAGTTAGACTGATTGGCCTATAGTTTGACAAATTACTTCTATCCTCTTTTTTGAAAATGGGCGTTATGTTGGCATGCTTCCAATCAGAAGGTACCACACCTTCAGATAAGGATTTTTGAAACAGTAAAGTTAAGGGTCGNCAGTAAAGTTAAGGGTCGGCAAATAATATCCCTCATCTCTTTTAACACTATAGGTAAGATGCCATCAGGGCCCTGTGATTTATTTATTTTGAGCTTAGCTAGGCTTTGCAAAACATCAGCTTCAGTTATATATATATATATTAGTTATAGACGACGCTGGATTAGTAATAGGTACCTACACTAAAAAATACAAACATGGGCTATATACACGCGCTCGCAAGGCATGCTGGGACATGCAGATGCCGCCGGCGCCACAGTATTATAGCGTATTTGAATTATACATAGTTCGGTAATTTAATTTGGCAATACTGTAATTTGAAAAGCGTTTGAAACAGCTGTACTGTATGTTAAAAAAAATTGCTATAACAATCGTCTGCTTATAGTGATCAATTTCACTCAGACAGACGTGATCACTATAAGCGGATTCCACTGTAATATGAAAATCACTGAATATCACTAAATAATACATGAAAGATATTTTACAGAAATGCTACAAATGGGTAGAAAAGGTTTTCAATAAGCTGTCAGGAGTGGATTAGAGCATTTCATCCTTTGGAGCTCTCTCTGTCATCCTGGATGCAGGTGTCAATCATTTCTGCCAGGTTGGTGAAGGACGGTCTCTCCTCAGGGCAGAAAGCCCAGCATTTCAGCATCATGCTGTGCACCTGCAGAGTACATGGCGTTCCACATCAGCAGTGTGAGTTAATCTCCGCCTCCTGTCTGCTTAAAACTAAGAGCATAAATGGTCATATTTCACACAGGTTTCCTGTGTCCTACCCTTTGTGGACAGTGTTGGGGAGCTGGCAGTCTCCATTTGTCCTTAAGGACACTGACAAGGTGCATCGAGATGGAGGCAATCTGCATGTCCTTTCCAACCTTCTGCAGATATAACTGTAAAGGTGGAGGGAGAGAAAGGTGCTTGAGAGGGAATGTGGGTCTCTGAAGGGTTTGCACATCAGAAATGTGCCTTTTGTTGATGTAGGTTATCTACTGAGCAGGACCAAAATGTATAATAAATAAATCAGCATCTGACAAACTCACCTTTTTGGGATTCTGATTGTGCTCACAATAGGAAAAGAGCTCATGGAGAACGATGCCAAAACTCCACACATCAGATTTGTGAGAGAACTTGGATTCGGTGATTGATTCTGGTGCATACCTGCATTTGCCACCATGAACAAAGTTAAACATCATTTTGGTTAAAATATCCTCATGTATAGTTGCGAAGTTAAAAATTTCTTCACACTTACCAAAATATTGGACTGTCCCCTGGTTTTGTCACCCGGTAGTAGTCCTTGTCAAAGGGGATTATTTTGGTGAGCCCAAAATCTGCAATTTTCACTAGTGATTCACTGGCCACTAGGATGTTCCTAGCAGCCAGATCACGATGGACGTAACGCATGCTCTGTAGGTACTCCATCCCCTGTGCGAACAGAAGGCTTGACGGTAACAAAAGTGCTGTTGCTAATCACCAGAGATGGAGTTCAGCTCCAAAAAGTACAAATCCAGGCCAAGAATTCACCCTTCCAGCTGAATGTAAAGAGTCACGGTCACAGAGAACTCAGCTGGTCGGCTAAAACAAAATCTATCTTATGTTTACTACAAGGCAGGTGTGACAGTGAAAACAATAATACCGCATGCATTTAATAGAATATATACAGATAAAGAAACACAGGCTTCTACAAGACCACTTACGAATCTGTGTTTGGGGGTTAATTCATGTGTTTATAAAAAACATAGATATATACTTTGCAGATCTGAGAAGCGAAGAGAAGTAGCCTTCTGCAGCTAACATTTTCCCGGTTCTTCTCCAGGTATGAAATCAGACTGCCGTTGGGTAAATACTCCATCACCAAGCTTACATTTAGGCGACCTGACGGTAAATGTAAAGGAGGTCACAAAACATGCATACTTATGCGCAAAGACACAGCATAATACAAGTCAGCAAGGATATTCATCCAGACAATTCTGAGATTTGCAGCTCCGTGTTCTGGAAGGGCACCCACTCTACTGCATTCACCTTTTCCCTTTTCTGTTATTTAAGACTGAAAAGGAAACCGTATTCAGAAACACCAAGCACTGACTTGGATCTCAGGGTATACAGTATACCCTTCCCATACTTAAATACTACATTTGGTTCTGTAAATGGTACTTAAGTTTCTTGCCCATCTCTTTACATACAGAAGTTGCACGATATATTCACTTACCCATGCTGTAGCAAATACCAAGGTACTTCACAATGTAGTCACAATGCAAGGAACTGGTGGTCTGTATTTCTCTCTGAAAATCTGCCATGCTGGACTGCTTATTTGGCTGCAGTTTTTTCACCGCAATCAGCTCCCCTGTGTTGTCTCCCAGAGGATCATAGCGACACAGCTCGACGCTGCCAAAATTGCCCTAGAAAGCATGACAAAATGAGGTTTCAGACCCTCAATAACTTTAGCAGCAAGTAAAATTATCAAGGGTGTAAACCCCTTTTTTTCTTGATAAATGAATTAAACTTCCTGAATAGCCGCGTCTTGTTTTTCAGGTTGGGCTTGTCTGCTCTGATGAGGGGAGAATACGCTTAACTCAAATGCACACGACTTTTTAAATGCTTTTTTGACTTGAGTACTTGATGGGAGAATCGACCTCATAGTGAAAAATGCGCTTAAATTAGTAGCAGGATGTGTTTAAGGGTGATTTACATGCAGCACTCCCATATTTTGGCGTTTCTTCGCCCGAAGCGCGTAAATTGCCTAAGTGCATTTAAACCACAGACTGGAGTCGATGGGAGAATATGCTTAAGGGAACAAAGCATGCAGCCCTTTTTGACTTATGTACATGGGAGAAAACACTCATTTACACTGAAACTGCATCTTCATCTGAGGAAAAAGTGCAGGTGTTTGTGCCAAGAAGCAATTATTTTGGTGTGACAGCACATACCGCTTAAATTATTTCCTGCACACTTCAATGGTAAATCAGGTTTTCAATAAACAATAAGCAGAAGACGACATTTACACATCAGAACATAACTATCCATCCAATTCAGAGACTCTGATTCACTACAAAGGCCCCGAGCCACCCCCCCCGCCCCCCAAAATAAGGCCAAATTTAACAACACTGCTGTACTTCTCATATTCCTCTTACATGAATGTTATGTGACTCCTTCACTGTGTAAAAACACTTTCTATACGTAGAACAAGCTACCCAACTACATCCAGTCTACAAGGTCCCTGACAACATCTTAAGACCCCAGAAGTTCCCTTAAATTCCAGAAACACCTCAATTAACATCACCTCTTAACACAGACCATATTACCACTATCGCCATTGAAGTTACCACTGACTGTCTCATTGAAGTGGTTTTATTTGGATTGCTAGATGCTCGGTTTTTGTATGTTACACTTAATAGATTCTCTCTCTGATGACATTTATTTGTACAGTTTTTTTTCAGATTGTTTCAAGCTGCTAAGCAGTGTTTGTACAGTTTTCATTCCCAGCCATCTTGCACTTGTTTCTGCTGAAATAGTTGACTTTACACTTTAAGCTTGGTGTCGACCATTTGTTGGTCACGTGATTATGACACCATGGACACATCAGAGAATACTAGTTACACGGAAGTGTGGGGGAAAGTGCGTGGGGCTTGGGCATCGTCAGGCTGCATCACTTGGGGCTGTAGCCTAGGGGTGGGCCTAAAATTGTCATGATGCTATTTTTCACGGTGATGATATTATATCACGGTATTACTATTTTTCCCAGGTTTTGGAAGGAGTAGCGTATCTATGTAAATGAAAATATTTTGACAACATATTAAGTGCATATAAGGGATATATTTTCAAATGGGAGACATGGGAGAGTCGCAACAGCATTTATTATGCAAATAGTCTGAAGATCTTGATATTAACTTTTATGCTCTACAACAAAACTAAAATGACCAGTTCTGCTGTACAAAAAGAACACTTTTTGCGGTCGCATGGTAGCTGTGAGCCAAATTGTGTCAGGGAACACAAAGACACGCAAATGAAAGCATCAAGGAACAAATTTGACAAACGGACGGTGCAGACATCCCAGCTCTCCCGGAAGTTCCAGGATTCTCACGCATGTTGACAGCGGCTCCATGATGCCCGCAAATTATATATAATATCCCGGACATTTGTTTTTCAGATGAAGAGCACATCTGAAAAACAAAGCTTATCTAGAATTTTCGGAGGACAGCGGGCGTCACGATCGAGAGACTCCCGGAACTTCCTGAAGGGCATGTTTGCTCCATGTCGGATTATTTAAAACCTTCCCAGTTCCAAATAACACAGGTGCCCTCCCCTGTTTTGGAAGGAGAGTCTCCTTGTCGGCTCATTTCGACATTCCACTCCTGTCTTTTGTTATTTGTTTTTCTCAGCCTTTCTTAACTTTATTATCCATTAGCGAGCTTAAGATGCTACTTTTGGCATGACGTCACCACGCGTTAATTGCGCAGTTGAGCCTTTTACCGCATACCTTGCGTGAAGGCAGCGGCGCGTATTAAATATTCTGATTTAGTGAACGTTTTACTTTTTAAATTTACCATTATATATATGTAACCCGGATATTTTTAATGTGTATAATTACACAAAATCTGTTGATTTTTAATTTGTTCATTTGCTATCAAGACACGGCGTCAGAGTGTGTTTAGTGGAAAATTAACACAACGCAGATGAATGCTATATGCTATACTATACAAAGACAAGTATTCAGACTACAACTGAAGCTTTGAAGAAAATAAAATGTTTTTTGTATAAATAGGCTGTTGCATAATTAGGCTCTTGCCATCTTAATTGCGGTGTTAACGGTTGCCCTTCTATTGCTCCGCGAGTATTTTAGCCCCAATTCCAATATTGCTTCAAACACAAACAAAAAAATAATAAAACCAAGCCCCATGCAAACTTGACTCAGCCTCTGGTCTTTTCAATATCTAGAACCACCCTTGGTGTGGAACCAAAACGGCCGCATACAGTATTACCGAATTATTTTTGCACCTTAATTACATTTAATGCATTACAGGAATACCTTGTTAGTCCATATTTCTGCCTCGGAAAATGTGATCGATAACCGAAATACTTTTGTCTAATATTGCCGGTGCCGGTGGTGCAACTTGCCAGAGTAGTTAATTAAGAGACTTGCGATGGATCTCCAAATCGAAAATTAACAAATAACTAACAAAACAACTTATTTATCGCAATTGTTTTGACGCAACGGTGCAGTTTCATGTGAATGCGTTAAATTTAACCTACGAGTTTTTTGTGTATCCCATGCTTATTTAGCACAAAGGTCCCGGTTCCTGTTAAGTGGCGTGACAGCGACACACGATAGTGACCCGGAGATACAAAAATTCACAGACGAGATGGCCCGGAACCAGGAACTAGGTTCCAGAACTTCAGAGATGGGGGGGAGTGCCTTAATTATGATGCTACCATCTAAACACATATTCTCTTAATTGATCACTGAGTCTAACATTCAATCAGTTTTGCCACATAAATTCCTGAATTGTTGTATTTCCAGACCAGAGCTTGACAACATTAAAAAACAAACCCACAGCCACGATAGAACGGTCAGCTAGGGGTCCACTTTATAGACTTGCAAACAGCTGCAAATTTAAGTGAAAAGAGTAGATTTGACATAACTTTTGCAGGTATGGGTACAGCATTAGGAAATTAGCCTTTAGCCAGCATTAGCTGGAACGCTACCTTTCCAAGGGCGCTGATGTAGCGCAGATGTCGTTCCTCATACAGGGAAAGCTGTTCCTGGTAAGAAATGTTCATTGTTCTCCAGAAGCTGTCTTTATCAGAGACTGCACTTGCTCCTGGGTCTAAAAGCTCATAATCTGCAGGGTAGAGCAGGTAAAGTGCCATTTGATGGAGATGAGATATCTCTTAGACAAGCTCTGATGGACACAGATAAAAGGAAGTATACCTGAAGTAATGAGGTTGTTCAGCTGCCGGATTATTCCACGGCTAGAAGGACGCAAAGCAGGCTCATAATCCATGCAGCGGCCAATCAGATCGGCCAGCTCTGTCCACTTTGGGGAGGGAAGCTGCTCATGGTTAGCATAGAAGAGCAGTTTCTATAAGCAGAACAAACAGAGATTTAGTGACATTCACGTAGCCTGTAGGACACACTGACAGGCACTTCATTCTGTAGTGTTTGTCCAGCTTGTTTAACTAGCGCCCCCTACCTGCTGGGGGTCGCAGCCTTGCAGAGGTGGCTTCCCTTCGTTGAAGATCTCCCACAGTGTGGTCCCAAAGCTCCATTTGTCAGAATCTAAGCCCAATTTTTCATGCATCTCCAGGACTTCAGGAGCCACCCACGGGATCCTGTCTAGAGTCACTGCAGTCCCAACACAAAAGGTGCCAACAGTTCAGGCTATAAGTCTGTGCTGCTCTCTTGCTGCTTCACTGGCCATCGAGAGGCAAAGCGCTTTACCGTCTCTCTCGAGGACCGTCACACTAACGCCAGGGTCACTCAGCTTGATGAAGGGGCAGCTGCCAGTGGACGGCTCCCCCTCCCTGGCCAGGAGCAGGTTCTTGGCTGAAATATGGCCGTGGACGATCTTTTTTTCTTCCTAGCATATGACATCGACAGCATGAATGTTGTGTTAATTCACACACACGTGCTTCTGGAATTCTAATTTAATTAAAGGTATCAGGCATCAACGTGTTCGTGCGGCTTGTTCACCAGGAAGTTTAGGACGCAGGCCAGTTGCTTGGCGATGTCCAGCTTCCAGCTGACTGGAACACATCCCTGGTGTTTCCTTAGGTACAGATCCAGGGCTCCATACTTCACAAACTCCTGCACCATTAAGTCTGCAGGGTGAAAAGTCAGGAACTTCAGGCTAACGTTTAAACTGAAAAGTCCATCAGAAAAGACCAGTATGACAAGTTAAGGTGAGCTGTGGCTGAAAGGGGAAAAACAGCAAATGTGGGAGGGTAACTTACGCTCAGATCTATTAACACTTATCCCATAGACCAAAATCAGGTGCTTGTGTGAAATCTGGCTCATGAGGCTGGCAGCTTCAAAGAATGACTAGAAGAAGACAAGGACAAAAACTCAGTAAGAATTAAGATACTCTGAATAGGCTCCCCATCCACATATTAACCTCTAATTCTTATTTACAAGGGCCCAACTCAAGGGCCCAACTCAAGGGCCCAACTGTAACATGCCTGCTCTGCCAGTCACAGGATTTCAACCCATAACCTTCTGGACTTAGATCTGTAACTGACTGAGCTACATAATTCAGTGATATATGCTGCTGGAATGCATTAAAGTGAGGGGGTGCTCCTCCGATTCAGGCTGTGAGCTTGGATGGCTCTGCAGGCCAGACATGAAACACTTGGCAGTCACAGCTGATTGGAAGACAGATGGAAGGTAGAGAATGACACGTGGAAAATCTGTAAAAGGTGTTGACACAGTAACCAGCTGCAATACACCTGCCGAAACTATAATTTTTTATCTCCTATCATTACGATCTCAGAGGAAATATAGTCAGCTGTTAACTGAATTAACAAAGCTTGCATCATGGGACGAGGAGGTGTGGGCTGAGGTTAAAACACTGGTAGTGTTGATGTACTAAAGGCAAACTGAATCTGGACAATAAATACAGTTAGTATGAAATGAGATGCTATGCACGTTTTCCTACATAACTGCGTAACAGACTGTTCCCACCCTTATGTGGTAAGAAGGGCTATGGCAGATAATATCTATTTATGAATTATTTGGAAATCTTTTCTAGATGTCAGACGTGTCTGGAACATCTAAAGGTGTCTTCTTGGCAAACAGTAAACGTTTCCTGCACTCGGCTTCTTTGCCGTGGCATCATTTGTTGGAGACCTAAAAAACATAAGTGAAACCACTGCACTGCTTTGCCTGCACATTTGCCTAGTACCGTGGCCAATTAAAACTAACAAAACAAACCTTGCAGTGAATAAGAGCAAAATCCATATTAGTAAATGTGAGCAGTCCATATTAGTAAAATCAGTGGAATGTCTTACTTAACCGATTTATGTTAGACCAGCTAATGGGTGAAATTATTGTGCCTCACAATGGATCAGCACTTATCCTACTGTCCCTGTAACGCAGGACATGCACCAGCATTATCCCAGAGCAGGAAATGTCAGGCAAATGTACTTTCAAGCCTCTGCATTTATCTGTTAAATGATTTCCATATTGCAGGCTTTGTCAGTTATTGAAGTCTACCAGAAAACAAGAAGAGTACATTAAGCAGAGTCAAAGCTAAGCAGAGTAGACAGTAAAGTGAACTTGAAGATGGTGGTGCTGGAGGTAGTGCTTTCGTTCGGCAACCAGAGGGTTGCAGGTTCAAGCCCTGGTTCCTCCTGATCCCGTCAAAGTGTCCTTGAGCAAGACACTGAACCCCAAATTGCTCCCGGTGTGCAGGTTGGCGCCTCACGGCAGCCTCTGTCCCCAGTGTGTGGATGTGTGTGTGGATGGTGAATGTGAGGCATGAGTTGTAAAGCGCTTTGAGTGCTTGTAGGAGTAGAAAAGCACCATATAAATGCAGCCCATTTAAGAACTGCAACAAACATAAGGTGACATGACCTATAGCAGCAGAGACTGAATTGGCTATTATTAGCATAGAACATTACTGGCTGTTCCACTTCTACCTTAAGAAATAATATCACTGTATTAAAGGGTTTAACTAACATAAGACCACATAACCTTACTACTAAATAACTACACAAAAACAACCTGCTGCATGTATATTGTTACATATAGAGTCAACTACTGATTTATTGGCAACCCCATAGAAAGTAAAAACAAAATAATGAAATAAACATGTAAGACTCTAAATATCCCTGAAAATGTGTAAAAAAAATTGCCTACCATTTAACAAATAAAAATAATTCCTTCAGGGATAATATGGAGCAAAATTATTGGTACTGCTTAATAATATCTTAACACCAAAGAAATTTGCATCCTTGGTGAAAAAAATGTCTCTTCCTTCTGTTGCACAGAAAGTCATTTGTTGTCTATGGACCATTTCCTGTTTATCTGTGGTCACACACATGAATAACCCCTTTGCCATTTTTACCAGGGTAAAGCCAATGAGATTAAAAGTTCAAAATATCACTTATCACATTTGTGATTCATCTTATACGCTAATGGTTAATCGTCATGAGGGTTGCCAATAATTCTGAAGTTGACTGCATGACAAGATTGGGAGCAGGAGGTTAATTTTAGTTAATTCAATTATTTTTTATTAAGTGTCCTTCCCAACATCATCTGATGAGTTCATAATAGCAGGCAATTTGTAACTGAAATTCAAACGATTCCCTGGATAAAACCATCACACAAGGCAAGTCATTAAACAGAAAAATGTCTATTAGCGCTCTTTAGATAATTTGACTCACACAAACTATAGTGACAAACATGCCATAGAAGCAGCTGAGGGCAGATGAGATAACCCACTGCAACGTGTGTTTGGCTCACAGTATTCAAAAGAATAAATAAGTTCAACGAAATTAAGGAGGACTAAAATTAGAAGGCCTAAAATCCTAGCTAGATAGCTAGAACTGGCGACCTTCTGATTACAGGCACACAGGCTTAGCCCACTGGGTCACACGCTGCCACAATTAAGGCGGCTCAGGCACCTTCCTTTCCTGAACACCTTACTGCTGACTTCTGAGAAATGACATATAACTTCATGTTTAATTTTTAAGCCAATAATACTGCTTACTCACCTCCCAGCAGTTTTGATGCGCATTATCTAGAACTTTTATCAGAACGTCCGCTGTGTTTCTCTCTCCATCCCGAACGTCACTTTTGTAACCCTTGAAAATCCGTGTGAAAGTTCCTTGTCCCAGACTCTCTCCCTGCCAAAAACATTCTTGCATCAACCGGTGTCACAAATCATTAACTTATGTTATCTCTGTGTTCATTCATGATCTGTTTTAGCGTTTTATTGCATAGCTCCATACTGGGAAAGCCGCTGTAAGATTGGGGAATGGATGGACAGCATGTTACAAACTGCTAACTGGTAAAGGCTCTCAGGAACAGCTCACCAGTTTCAGGTCCTCATTCTTGATCATGTGAAACTGGACACTGCTAGCTTTTCGTCTCGGCATGGCAGGAGAGCCCAGTTCCTCTGCCTTGGAACCGTTACGCAATATGATCATGTTTGTGAGCTCTGCAGCAATGGCACAAATTACATTAGGTTACAATGTGCGTTTTTTATGAAAATTGTTTTAAGTTATATTGTTGCAATAAGAAACTAAAATCAAGACCATAAATCACATCAGTGAAAGAAAACTCTGACTCTATCCAGGCAATACTGTCCCTCAGCCAGTAAATCATTTTCACTGAAAACCTTTTAAGAAATAGGATCAAACGCAGCAGTATAATTTGTCCATTTTGAATACTGCTGCTTTACTTAGCATCATGATCGTGGCCATAAGTGGAAATTAGCGGGAGAACATTTCAAAACAAATTTGAGGAAGCACTTCTTTACACAGCGCGTAGTTAGAGTATGGAATAGTCTTCCTGCTAGTGTAGCGGAAGCTAAAACCATGGGTTCCTTTAAATCAGAGCTAGATAAGATTTTAACAACTCTGAGCTATTAGCTAAGTTCTCCCCAAACGAGCTTGATGGGCCGAATGGCCCCCTCTCGTTTGTAAATTTCTTATGTTCTTATGTTCTTATCACCAAAATGAATTTTTTTGCCTTTGGCAGAACAGATACTCCCTCTTTACAAAGGTGTTTGATTTTAGCTCTGAAATGCACCTCATTGTAACATGGCCTGAGCTTACAAAAACATTTTAACAGATTAGAGATTATATTATCATCTGAAAGGAAATTGCATGAAACTGGTGTGTATGAAAATTATTCACTAGGAGAAGGTCTTGAACCCACTATACAGTCATATAACTGAGCTTTATTGTATGTCCTTTAATGAAACACTTTGTGACAAATTTATTTGCAAAATTGTACTGCACACTACTGCTGTTATTGGTACGGCCATTAACGTCTGCGGCAGAGCCACACCTGGAGCGCTACTCGCCCTTCTGGAATATCTGACTGCTGAACTCTCTAAATTCTCCTTATTGATTAGGCTACTTAACAGTGGCGGCTGGCCCATAGGGGGCGCTCGGACACCGCCCTCCCAGATGTGGGGGGAATATAAAATATATAAAAATAAAAATATATATATATTTTTTTTTATCAATGTCAGTTTTACTTAATAGTGTGTGCCTACATGCAATCTGAATTATTTAAACAATATTTCCACCGACTGACTCTCATTCAACAGTGAATTTCCACCGACAGATTTCCACCAATCATTTCTCTTCTTGGGCGCTCATCAAAGCGCCCCAAAAGTGCAGCGAAATAGCCAATCGTGTATGGTTGGTCGAAAATAATAAAGATTTGGCCTATCAGCATCGCCGAATTAAATGGTTTTGGGGCGCTGGAAATTTCGCCCCTGCTACAGAAAATGTGGGAAAGCTTTGGATTGCTCTCAGGTCAGAGAGAGATGATGGCGAGGACGACAGCTGAGGGGCAGAATCCACCAAATTCGGTGAGATCGTTACCTGCAATACTGTTTTTGCAAAAGTATTGCAGGTATATTGCCAGGTATATAATCCAAAGCAACAGTTCCCCTCTCTGGATGTAGAAGAGAAATGTTTGTTCGCATTGAGATGTCTTGCCTTTTGGTCGAGGTGCACAGCACCTTCCCAGCTTGGTGGGGAGATCTGCCAGAAGCAGTTCATTCTCCTGGTAGAATGTAACCAGCGCCTTCAGGCTGGGGAAGGAGCTGGAGACTCCTGAGAGGCGAAATCCTTTGTCCGTCACAATCAGACAGTCCTTATAATCCATCCCTAAAGGTGTCTGAAGAAGAATCACACATCTTAGTAGCCCAATTATTAGAATTTCTGCAGCTAACTTGCTTAATCAATCCTACATAAGGAAGCAACCTCAGTTTGTCATTTGGTCATTTTGGTGAAACAACAAGCTACAGAGAAGCTAGTTTTCTTCTAACAAAACATGTGCTGGCAATATTTATTTCCAGGAAGATACCTAATAAATATTAAATTGTCAGTAATTGAAACTAACAGCTCAGAGGCCTGTAATGTACCATACATCTACTTTTAATATATTAGAACATCTCAGCATCTGTTGTTTTTTGCGTTACCAGGATAAATTCCCTTTGAAAAACTGTTCATGCATCTTAAATTTTCTTTGTTAATGATGAATTTCTTGAATGAATAGTTTTTTAATACCTGAACACAGACAGTGAGAAAGTACTTGTCAAAGTCTTGAGGACTCCGTCGCAGAAGAAACATGCCACTTTTCGGACCAGATTTTTTCAGCTTGTGTACGGCAAATTCGGACCTTGCAGAGCAAAAGAAGCAAATGAAATGCAAAGGGCCCGTTTGCACAAAAAAGTCTAAAAGCCGTATTTTTTTATTTTACAAAGGATCTACAGGATATATTATTTTTACATTTTAAAAACTTTGCTGCAAGATTTATTTATGACCAAACTGCTAATGAGGGAATAAATAGCATTACAAAAAATATCAGTGAAACTTAAACAGGCACGTATGATGAAGTTCAGGCTAAAGAGCCTCTAAGCTTACGGACACAGAGGAAGGGAAAGAACGGGAAAAAATAATGAATGAAAGACAAGCATGTTGTGAGCTCTTTTGCATTATTCGTTACTAACGTGTCTATTCAAACTACAATGGGCCCAATGATGCAGTAATAATTATTATAGTCTATAAAGCTAAATAACAGACATCCAGTGAAGTGTGTTTTAAGCAGTAATCTATGAGGGACATGTACACCGTATAACTTGTCCCCATGGTCTGTTGCTTAAAGCACAATTCATTGGACGTCTCAGTAACACAGAAAGTGCTGCGATATCAGAAGGACTCATTACTTTCTCCTCCCATTAATATTTTAATTAATATATTTTTTTCCCTCCTGCCATCCACTCATCAGAAAGACAGCGGCCATTATCAGTAAATTGAATTACAAGATACAGATGTGCGTAGGTGCATTTAACGTGCTAGGTAATATTAAGCTACAAGAGGCCTTACGTGATTGGTCCGTGACAGTGGCACTCAATGTCATGGAGCAGGCTGGGTGGAGCAACTTCCTGGCAAAAATAGTGACTAGAGTCTGTGGTCAGCCTGAAGTAGCCATCAAGCAGAGCAACAAATGACCGTGCCTCTGACAGTGTCTGAAACTCCGCCTCCTGGTGACCAAAAATATAATTACTTTTATCACGATGATCCTACGGGCAATTTCACTCTTTCAGCTGACGACAAAGAAAAGGTTAGTATGTTGTCAACAATCAACATCAAATAACAAAAAGTCAACAATGTCAAACAAGGCATAGTGCATATTTGACAAGTGATGTAGTGACTCTCAGTGGCTTAAGACGGACATGGAATCTGCAGTTAGTGTAGCAAAAAATATAAAACAGTGGAAACATGAAATTTTACATATTACATTGAGTCCTATACTGGATGGATGGTTATTCATTCGAGTCACGGTAATACTGTTATTGGAATCACCAAGAACCCATCCTCTAAATGAAATAAAGGCATAATTATAGGCAAACCATGTTCATGATGGAATTAAAGTTTTATTGTGGCATATTTCATCAGTGTCATGATCTTTGCCATTGCAAGGCAGGGCAAACCCATCACAGACTGAGGTTCCAATACTTTCTTAAAAGTTTGTTTGATTACTTGTAAAATTCATTCTAAATGTCAGAATTTTACAAGCAATAAAACAATAAATCAATGAAATATATTTAAGTGAAATTATTGTACAAAACCCATTTTCCGAAAAGTTGGGATATTTTCTAAAATGCAATAAAAACATAAAAACAAAAATCTGTGATTTGTTAATTTAGGTGAACCTTTATTGATATAACTGACAAATGTACAAAGAAAAGATTTTCAACAGTTTCACTGACCAACCTAATTGTATTCTGTAAATATACAAAAAAGTCATAAATTGATGGCCGCAACACACTTAACAAAAGTTGGGACAGAGACACATTATCCACTGTGTTACATCAACTTTCTTTTTAATAACGCTTTTTAATCGTTTTGGCAATCAGGATACTTATTGTAGTAATTTTGAAATTGGAAATTTTGTTAAGCGCTCCTTCCTTTTGTGATGTACGATTTCAGCGGCTCAGCAGTCCACGGTCGCCGTTGTCTGATTCTCCTCTTCATGATGCTCCATACATGTTCAGCAGGAGATAGATCTGGAATGGCAGCAGGCCAGCCAAGCACCTGCACTCTGTGTTTATGAAGCCATGCTGTTGTAGCCCGTGCAGAATGTGGTCTGGCATTGTCCTGCTGAAATAAGTATGTCCCAGGAAGAGACATTGCCTTGATGGCAACATATACACCTCAGAGTCGTCTAAGATGAGCTCGGCCCTGAGAACTGGCCGGCGTTTCTGGTCTAGTTGCCGTATGGCTTCCTCCTTGCATAATACAGTTTCAAATTGAATTTCTGGATGCAGTAATGGGCTTTGTTAAAGGACAGTGGATTTCCGATGATCTCCTGCTGCCAGGTATTTGTCACAGTAGGATTACAGGCTGTGCCGCGTCTGGGCTCAAAGATCAGAGACATTCAACAGTGGTTTCTGACCTTGCCCTTTATGCACTGACATGACTCTGCATTTTCTGAATCCTTTCATAATACTATGTACTAAAGATGTCGCAAGACCGAAATTTTCTGCAATCTTGTGCTGTGGAATTTTCTTTTGAACTGACTAACATTTCTATCACAAATTCTGGCACAAAGGTGAGAGCCACAACCCATCCTTGCTTGCAAAGACTTGATGGATGTTACTTTTATACCCAATAATTATAGGTCACCTGCTACCAGTTAACATGCTTAATATGGATATTTATACTGTATATAATCTTATTTTAACTCTGTCCCAACTTTTGTTGAGTGTGTTGCAGCCATCAAATTGTAACTTGCATATATTTACAAAAATCCTTTCTTTTCTTTATACTTTGGTCGGTTAAAGGTTCACGTAAATTAACATATTACAGATTTTTGTTTTTATTGCATTTTAGAAAATATCCTAACCTCTCTGGAAATGAGGTTTGTACTTTATTCCGTGAAGTAAAATATGGCAGGAATCACAATGCAGCCCCATTAGAGGAGCATTGAAAGGGCAGAAGCCACAATAAAAAGGTAAATACATTTTTTCATTTAGAAAGTTTCACTAACCAAGCGTCTGTCATCCTGTCGTGTCACCGTGACAATTCTGCTCTCCAGCGGGACCTGATCAAGGTAGGCCTGCTTCATGCTGATCTCTGTTATCTCCGGAAAATCACAGAAGGTTTGCCAGTCCTGTAATCAGATGCACAGCCAAAAGGAAGGAGCGCTTAATGTAAAGTTACAAATTGAATAGTATCACATGGACAAGAGACAGTAATTAACAACAGACGTCTCGCTGGTGACGGGATTAGAAAGTGTGACCAAAAAGTAGCACAGAATTGTCAAGAGGATCATGATCTTAGCCTTGGGAGAAAATTATTGTTTTTGTTTGAGATGTAACTTTCTGCTGTGCTTATTTCAGCAGCCTCCACTTATGATTAATATTCAACAGGATATCTGTCACCATGACGGCAGATCAGGACGCTTGCTGTAGTTCAGTTCCTCATTCGGCATATCGGGGGAGGCTGTCCTTACCGTGCCTGGGGTTCGGCTCTGGATGCCCATCTCCCCAGAGACTAGCAGAGACTTGGAAGTGGGCTCTGTGGTCAGCGAGCTGCAGCCTGGGGTGCGGACCTGGAAGCCCTCGGTGCCGTGCCTGGGCTCCACAGCCGCCAGCTCCATCAGGTACTTAAGCTTCAGGCTGTGGCCCCCCGCTGGACAGCGGCCCAGCTTGTTGAGGAAGTGCTTCAGGGTTTTGCGTATCCGGAAGCGAGTGAGACGGCTCAGCTGCTGGATGTTCTGCCGATGGCTTTCGGGCAGACATGACTTATAACTGAACGAGAGGTAGATTGACAGATGGATGGATAAAGATTCAGTCATTTTTTAACTTAGGTGTGCTGCTTCACTTTACAAACAGTAACATAAAGAGTGATAGTTCACAGCTAAAGTAAATTCTGATTAATATGTGCACTTCCCCAAACCTTACTCGTACCCGGCGCTCTTACTCGGTCCCCTGCTCCCTTCTCCCCCCGTACCCGGCGCTCTTACTCGGTCCCCTGCTCCCTTCTCCCCCCGTACCCGGCGCTCTTACTCGGTCCCCTGCTCCCTTCTCCCCCCTTACCTGATCGTCTTGCAGATGTCCTTTAGGCACCTCTGGTTCTGCTCCTCGGCCAGGCGCCATAGGTCCAGCACGGCCAAACCCAGGCACTCCTCCTTAACGCTGAGTGGGGGGGACACATCCGCCTTCCCATTCACAAAGTCACTGCGCGACTGCAGTCACAAGCCAAGCAGTATGTTAGTGAACTTCCACCTCAAATTATATGAAAAATCAGGTAAATGTATATTTAGTGTATGTCTTAGAATTCTTATTATTCAGATGACGTCATTCAGTTAAAAAAAAAGATGAGTAGAAGAGGTTACAACTCAAATCAATCAGAGAAGACGACCGTAGAATTAACCGCAAAACACTAGATTGAAGAGAGACGGCAGAGTTATTATTAGTCTGGGAAAAGCCATGCTGTGCACATTTTCATGCTATTAGGTTTGCTGGGAAGAACAGTAAGTTGGGGAGATGATGTCATGCAGATGATGTCATGCAGTTCTCTCCTACTGTGTGTGTTAGCCTATCAGTTATAAAGGAGAGCAGCCTTCGCTAACCATGTGGATCACCAAGAGTCCAGGGGCTGAAAGTTTTATGCAAGTATAATCAGTCATTTTGAAAGTCACCATAAAACTCATAAAAATTGCAAATATTTACATCCATTTATGACCTTACAGTTGAAATGGTTTCAGAGATGCGACATGATAACATTTTTGCGTACAGTACCTGTGCAAACAGATAACCGATGACGCTGTAGTCCAGCACTGCGCTGATGCGGCTTCTCGGCAGACCATAACGATATGTTTTCCTGCTTCCCTGTCCAAACCAGTCTGAGAAAAAGAACCTGTGAAATCGCAGATGTAGAGTGCACAATGCAACATTAAGAAGTCTGTCGAAAATCATTACAGCCCACTTTCAGTTTCCTGTTTACGACAGATTAGCATGGTCACTATAACTCCATTCAAATTTTTTTAAATTTGCTATACAAAGAAATAGTGCAGGACACCTGAATTATAAAAATGCCTAAATATACTTAACAAACATATACAGCGATCCCCCGCTATATCGCGGTTCAGCTATCGTGCCCCCGATATATCGCAGATTTTTCCCTGACGCATCACAGTTCTCTGTGCATCGCGTATCTTGTTGGTGGTCCGATTGTTCTGAGCAAACTTTTTGTGAACCCATACTGAGCTTAAAATGTTTTTATTTTTACAAATTCCATTACGTATACAGAGAGTTAGAGAGAGAGAGAGATGTGTATATATATGTGTACATATACATTACATATTATTATAATTATTATGTTAGTCATATCCTTAGCCCGACATCCACATATCAAATCTTTGCAAATTGTGTTTTAATAAGTTTATATGTGTTTAAAGTATGTGGGAGGGGTATTTTAAGGCTTAAACCAGGGGTCACCAACTCCGGTCCTGGAGGGCTACTATCCAGTAAGTTTTCTATCCTACCGGGCTTCTGATGAGCCACACCTGCTCCTGGTATTTACCTGAGAACTAGTGTGGCTCATCAGAAGCCAGGTAGGATAGAAAACCTACTGGATAGTAGCCCTCCAGGACCGGAGTTGGTGACCCCTGGCTTAAACTATAAAAAAATAATTATTTATATGGTCTTTCTATATCTTGGATTTTCACCTATCGCTAATGGGTCTGGAATGCAACTTCCGAGATGGGCGGGGATCACTGTATCAACAAAAAGTGTAAACATTCAGGAAGATAAAACCCCAAGACTGCTCATGATTGATAGTAATACAGTAAATTAGAATTTAATGAAGAGGTGCAACATTCAGGAGTTTGTACAAGAGTGTGACAGACTGCAGTGACCACCCAATGCACCCAGTGTTTATCAGCTTGACTTTTGGCAGATTAATACCTCATCAGTTTAATTTATCAAGTGAGCTGGTGGTAAAATTTAACAAATACGTCAAGTTTCCCTGTGGAGAGATTTGGAAACCGAAGTGGTGTTTTTCTGTGTTAAACTGTATTAAACTGTGTTTGTATTCTGAGCAGACGTACCCTTACTGCCCAGATAAATAACTTTGAAATATTTTTTGTTGGCCTACGACTTTTGCACAGTATTGTGTATATATAGTGTGCTTGTTTATTTGTATAACATAAAACACAACATGACAGAGCTACTTCAGATCCTGACAAACACAATTCTAGATAATCCTGTGCTTTCAAGGGAACTGACAGCCTGACCTGACTCGGTAGTGAACGGTGAGGTTTAAGTATTCATCCAAATTAAAAACATGGCAAGGCGGGAACCAGTATGAGAGATCTTCAGAAGCCAAGCCAAACAAACTGTGGTACACGGGCAAGATTCCTGTGGAACAAAGAGAAAAGGCAGGATATGCATGAAAGGCAGGCATCATCCAGACATTCCACCCTAGGGTTATTGATTTCAGCAGTATAACTTCTTGCCAGCTAATTTTACCACTGCTGAACAGCGGAACGACAGAGTTCCAGGACATTGTGCGTTATTTGCGGGTCTCAGGGAGCTCCTGGGAGACGTGGGATGTCTGTATTTCACACTTATATTTATTTTTACCTCTTATACTGTCATTTTGTTTGACATACTATGCATACTTCATTCAGTTAATTCTGAAATATTGTTAAATTCTCAAAAATTCAAAGTTTTTTTTAAAGAAACACTTTTGCTTGTGTCTGATTAGTTTGTAAATCATTTATTTTTTCATAGGAAAAGAATGCAAGGAAACGTTGAAGTGAAAACTTAGGATTGTATGAACTACGCTGAGGAATTTACACATTCATAGTTTTGCTGAGCTTTCGATAATGTTTTCTGTACTGGCTTATACTTCATTAGTTCTAAATGGGCCAGTTAATTTTATGAAATTTCCAGCCATTGCCAAGCTTACCACACTCCTTGGCAGCGATAGTGCAGATGTCCTCCGCAGATATCTGTCCTGAGGCTATGCAGAAGGTCATTTCATCCTTCTGAGCTGGGCTGAAGTACAGATGGACTTGCAGCCCAAGTCCAGAGCTTGACCTGTGGCTGTCCATCCTCTCCCGGTTCACCAGCGGAGCAGTTTCTTCTTCACTTACTTCCATGTGAGTCGTCAATGTGACGCCCCCTAAATAACTGATGAAGGACCAAAAAAAACTTCATGATTGTAAAATTAAAAAGTTAATTCCTGTAGGGTTACGGAAGGGGAACACTTTTAGAATATTCTCATATGCATCCTCATATGCCCAAATCATGTCTCAGGCCTTTAAAATTACAATAAGGCTGATTAAGTTTGTGTAAGCAAAATAAATAGCTATCAGTAACTAATCCTATTCCTTAATGTGTGCTAGGAAAGGCAGCTCAAGGTTGTTTTTGGTCAGTACGCTGATTAAACTACAAATAGACTTGTATATCTATATGGTGCTAATAACAAAAGACTGTTCTTCCTCCAGTATTAGTAGTCTGTCGACACTGTATATAGTCAGTGTGAAGCCAGCGCTATAATGATGATTATGGTTATACACAGTATACAATCAGTCTCATTACAGAGCTATGATGGTAATTATGAACGCACACAATAAACAGTTGGTGTCATTTCAGTACTCTGATTATGATTATGGCTGTGCATAGTATACAGTTGGTGTCATTTCAGTACTCTGATTATGATTATGGCTGTGCACAGTATACAGTGAGTGTCATTTCAGTGCTATCTTGATTCTAGTTGTACAGGTAAACTGTCATTCCAGCACTATGGGGATGTTCATGTACACAGAATACAGTCCTGTTGTTCAGGATTGTATCAATGGTGAAATAATAATTTCAGGACTATGAGGGGACTTTGGGCTGTGCATTTAATGCAGCCACTGACATTTCAGCATTGCGATTTTTACCAATGTAAAAAAAACAAAACAAACTGCTGTCATTCCAGCTGTTTGAAGAGTCTCCTTGTGGTAATGGGTGTATCATTCTTGCACTCTGATGATGTTTACTTTCGTAGGCAGTATTTCAGCCGTATGACGAAACTTCTCGTTACACACAATACACAAGCGGTCCCCTCCCCCACTGACGTGGCTTCCGCATGTCTGACCCCAAGGTACTTACCCAGTTAACATGGAATTTCATGACATTAAAACGTTTTTTCACTTACATACACTGTAAGATAAAGCTCCGACTTCATTATTTTAGCACTATATAAATTGCCACAATGTGGCATGTCATTATACATATACCAAAGTTAATTTAATAGATAATATTGCTATTTTTAAATATGGAAACTAGGATGTATGGTATTTTTGCTTTTGATTTCATGTAAAATCTCTTTCCAGTAAATTTTGTATTTTGCATAGGAAAGTATTCAAGTAGTAAACATTTGAACCCATGAATTAAGTTTGTGTTTTATCCATACAGCCTGGGAAATTAGCTAAGCACAGCATACATCAAAACAGAAATAACAAAAATATAAAATAAGAATGCAAAACACTAATAATAACTAAACATAAACGCAAATTAACATCTTGCTTGAATTTTATTAATGACACCATTTACTGAATAAAAATAGTTTCATTTTATGATAAGTTTGGGTTTATCTAATACGTATACAATATATTACGTATGTTGATACAAAATTGCATTTAATGATACATCTAAAAGAATCCACAACATTAAATTGAATTTAATAAAAAGCCACAGCTACTCAAGAATGAGCAAAATTACAGTCATAATCAAGGCTGTCTTTTCCTGTTCTAATCATTTTTATGAAACTGCCCACCATCTTAAAATTGGAGTGAAGAATAACAACGCATAACAACATACAATATAAAAAGAGCGTAATATGTATTCAGCCATAAAAGCTGTTACCTGAGGTTTGGCTATTCCCCACCGTAACCGGTTTGTCCATGCAGGTAGGGTGGGTATTTTGGCAATTCTTCACTGCGCCTGCATCCTCACAGCATGCTTCTAGAAGGGCTGGTAGAAAACAAAATGGTTTCCTGTCTTAAAAGCAAACCACAGAAGTTTCCGTACCTCATCTCATTTTCTTTTCCTTTCGCCATGTTTGTAATTCCGACAAAAGGCAGCAGGGCCCATGAATAGCCATAATCATCTTCCATTTAAAGATTGTATATTAAAAAGGCCAATTTAGATGTAACACTTTCATTTATCCAGCACAATAAAACAATAATGACCATAATTTTTGGTTTTTGTTAGTTTTTTTCCAAGCTTTTTTCTTGCAGTAAAACACAAGATTTGAATTTGGTGATTCACTGTAGCTTTTAAAATCCTTTACTTGCTTTGCATGTTTTGCTTACAGTTTTTTAATACAGGGGAAGGGCATCTTAATGGCATCTTAATTTGACCAACTTGTAGTGTGATGTAAACTGTGTTGGGTGAGAGAAATGGATGAACGGATGGATGGATGGATGAATGTTTAAACAACACAGTGCAAGGTAAACTGCTGGATGAAGGGTCAGCAGGCCAGATATGCAGCTGACTGGAGGAAGGACGTGTGATCGCTGGCATAACCGTAAGTCAGGCAGCATTGTAATAATTATGGTGGAGACAGTGTCATTTGGTTTTGCAGGGAGGCCCTATTGCAAACACACCTCCTGCCATGTTTTGGGGTCATTTATAGCGGAAAGAAAGAGCTTTTAAAGTACTGACTCCCAAACTACGTCGACTCTACGTCGCATCACTAAAATACTAAAAAGCTGATACCATAATGGGAAAATTCTACCGAGAGTAGAAAGGACTCTAATTCGCTAATATTGTGGGAAGTGTTTCGATACAAATGTAACCACTGCATTTCTAGACAAGTTGTTGAAAAAGGTTATATAGCGCTATAAACCAATCAGGGTTTTTGCACCAACTAGGGAATCCCATCAAGGTTACAGATATTTATATCAATGTATCGTATTTATATTGGCAGAAAAGTGGTAGATATGTTGGTAGAGAAACTGTACAAAATACGTTTGTACCCAGGCGATTTTTAAGTCCCTTTCAGTGACACAAAAGACTGTGTGGCTGTTCAGTACAACCAGATACTTGCTGTGTAGATGGTATGAGTGTAAGCATATTGCGAATCATTCATTTATAATTGTATAATTAATGTATCTAATTCAATTTGATAAATCTGATCTGCTAAGCAGACATGCCCACAGTCATGAAAATGGTTCTGACAACCTGGTACATAGATTTAATTCTGTTTTCATAGGCAGCATCCAAACAAGATGTTACACAACAGTGGTGGAACGACTGTATCTTGGGCCCTGGAGAAAAAATGGACCGTGACCCCCCCCCCCCTTTCCATATTCACACCTAGGGTCAGCCTAGCCCCCCCCCCCCCCCCTTTCCATATTCACACCTAGGGTCAGCCTGCGCCAGGTGCAGCAGCTGCAGATGATGAAATGTAAGTAGCCTGTAAGTACATGGCCTCTTCCGGAACAGGCAGGGCTGCCATATTTAAAAAGACTGTACATCACAGCAGAGTAATATATTAATATGGGGTATAATCATGTCGAATGAACTATCAAACAATGCATAGGTTATCTAGTAAATAAAGAAGATTAATTTAATTGTTTTTAAAGATCAATGTATAATGTTTTTTCAGAGCAGCTCAGGGTTGTTTAACAAAAATAATGGAGAGGAATGAGAACACAGCTGGTTTAACTTCAGCACAAACACATAAAAACATAAAAGTAACATGTCATATAGTCATCAGCGTCTAAATCCTCATGAATGTTTCACCTACATGGAACAATTGCAGTTGTCAAGGGCCCTCAAGGCCCTCTGAGGAGTCTGGGCCCCAGGGCAGCCACCCCATCCAACCTGCAAGTCCACCCCTGCAACACAGGGTCCCCAAAGTGAACTTAAAAGCTCTGTAGTATTGTGTAGACCAAGAAGAAGCTGTGGTTTATGCTGGGGATTCAGCGGCAAGGCGGATTTTCATGGAGCGTGTTGTGTGATATCAGAGACAGAAGAAGCGTGTTGGGATCACGGGGAAGCGTAAGAGAAGCCGGCGACAAACGCCACCTCAGGACTTTATTAGCCTGCCGTGTAGCGGTAGCTTTAGCTGTATCTCACATTTTACTAGTTTGGGTTTGCATGGTGCAAAAAGCCTTTTTGTCGCACAGTAGTCGTGTGATAGAAAAGAATCAGAGCTGTAATCAAGGCTGAAATTGGTGATGCCACTATAAATAGATAAGATTCAGCATGTGGAGAGGTGTGATAGAAGCACAGAGCTCTAATAATATATAATTTTATAGAGTTTTACAAATTTGACACTCAGTAACCATTCCTGATATTCTACATCTGTTCCGTGAATTATTTTCCATGTAAACGGTGAACTGTTACTGTGATACAATTTGCACAGCTATTGGTAATTTTGCTGATACATTTGATTATGGAAAAGTGAGATGACACTGATTCTCTTTAAACTGCATATTGGGTTCTGAATTCAGTTGTTGTAAAATGAACAACAGATGTATGCATCAGAAAATGTCCTGAAAATTCATACAAAGTGATGCATCTGACAACTGGTGACAACATTACTGCCATATATAATATAATATAATATTCTATCATATTTTTAATGAGTCTTTACAGAATCAGCATGTTCCAAAATGTTGGAAGGATGCTGTTGTTGTCCCTATCCCCAAGATTAATGGTCCGAAGACTTTAAATGATTTTAGACCTGTTGCTTTGACATCTATTGTAATGAAAAATTTTGAGAAACTGGTGAGGTCTGAAGTTATAAGGAAGACAGAGAAGGACTTGGATCCTCTGCAGTTTGCTTATAGACCTTTTCGTGGAGTTGAGGATGCCACAGTCACTTTAATGAATTTGCTTTTTAAACAGCTTGAGGGAAAGAGAACACATGCTAGGCTCTTATTTGTTGATTTTTCATCTGCTTTTAATACTATGCAACCCCACATTTTAATAGAAAGGTTTTTAGAACACTTTAACTTAAGTCCTAACCTTATGGGCTGGATTTTAGATTTTTTATTAAACAAAACACAGACAGTGAGAGTGAATAATACTCTGTCTGATTTAGCATGTTCCTCTACTGGTTCTCCACAAGGATGTGTTCTGTCACCTCTGCCGTTCATTCTTTACACAAATATGTGTCGTAGCAGAAGGGAGGACAGATTTATTTTAAAATATGCAGATGATTCGGTTGTTGTTAGTCTGTTTAAGGGCAATGAAACCTGCCATGGTGAAATTATATGTGATTTTGTCCAGTGGTGTGATGAATCCTTTCTGCAAGTGAACATTTCAAAAACTAAAGATATGCTGATTAATTTTAGGAAAGAACCTTTAGTACAAGAATTGACAACTATAAAAGGTCAGATAGTGGAATGTGTAGAAACCTATAAATATCTTGGCACAGTTATTGACAGCAAATTGACATTTGATGCAAACTGTGAGGCTGTCTATAAAAAGGGAAATCAGCGCTTGTTTTGCTTGTTTTGCTTGTTTTGCTTGTTTTGCTGTCATCTTTTTATATTGACAAAACACTGTTGATCCTTTTTTATCAAGCCTTTATTGAATCGGTTTTATCCTTTTGTATGGTGTCTTGGTTTGGAAATTTGTCTCTTAAAAATAAGAATTGTCTGAAACAAATAGTGAAGTGGTCTAGTAAGTTAATGAGAGAGCAGCAGGTGAATCCTGAGATGTTGTTTTCCAGGCAGGTACAGAATCTGTCTGGCTCTATATTAAAAGATACTTCTCATCCACTACACTATGAGTTCCAGCTGCTTCAGTCAGGATGAAGAAATAGAGTGCCTCAATGTACAACAAAACGTTTTAAGAACAGCTTCATCCCTATTGCTATAAGCCTCCTAAATAAGTGAATGAGGTATTAGTCTTTTATGTGGAATGTGGAATTATGGTTATGTGATTGTGTTATAGTGTTATTTTTGTGACTCACTTTACTGCAAAGCAAATTTACCTTTGGGTACGAATAAAGTTGAATTGAACTGAACTGAGCTGAACTGATATACGTGTAAAAAAACCCAGATTACAGGGCAACTTCTTGTAATGCCAGCAAACAAGCAAAAGACAGGTCTTTAGACAGGTATTTAGAAAGGCCTTTAGACAGGTATTTAGAAAGGCCTTTAGACAGGTATTTAGACAGCACCACACATTGGCATGATGCTCACCTGCCTGGAACACTCACCTGTACACAGTTAGATACTGTACAGTACTAGAAATGTGCAGATACAGCAGCAGAACAGCATTACACCATGATATTTAAGCAGATGCGTCTTTGAAGTTACAGTTTTAACCATCTACTAAAAATCTATATACTGATATGTCAGCATGTGCTTCATAGTGGGTTACATGGCCTCTTCCAGAACAGGAAGGACTGCCATATTTAAAAAGACTGTACATCACAGCAGAGTAATATATTAATATGGGGTATAATCGTGTCGAATGAACTATCAAACAATGCATAGGTTATCTAGTAAATAAAGAAGATTAATTTAATTGTTTTTAAAGATCAATGTATAATGTTTTTTCAGAGCAGCTCAGGGTTGTTTAACAAAAATAATGGAGAGGAATGAGAACACAGCTGGTTTAACTTCAGCACAAGAGGAAGAACGCAGGAAACAAAAGGACGACAGTGTGGAGCCGGTCACCAGACAGGCGTGGCACAAGGGTGCGGCACAAGGGCACGGCAACGGTGCCTAGGATTACCACGCCTAGTGCTTTTCTCAATCCATCATCGTTTTATGCAAAGTAGAGATATGAACAGACAGAAATGAATGCCAGTGAGGAAGTGAAAAAGTTAGAGAGAAATAGCTGTGGTTTCCCTTTGCTTTAACTGCAGGCTGTGGCTTCCTGCAGCTTCCTGTAGCATCACAATAAGAGGCCCTCTGCTGGCCTGCAGAGCATCTAACCACTGCACTGCAGTGAGGCTTCACCATTTTCCAGGGGGCTGCTTTGCAGTCTTCTGGTATCATTTCTTTTGAAGACTAAAAT